GTCCTGGGAAGTGTCAGGATGGTGTCTGACACTGGGGCCTGGCCTGCCCCCTCTGTCAGTGTGACCTCAGGACTGGACCCCGGTGACCGGCCGACCCCTGGGAGGGGCAGCTGGATGTTCACAATGCCTCCCTGCGGAGCACACAGGCTCACTGCCATCGAGCCGGTGCTCACAGGGCAGCACAGACCCACGCCGTGGGTCTTGCAGTGGAGAGCAGTGTCTGCTCCTGGAGAGGTTTGAACCAACGGCCTTTCACTCAGCAGCCGAGCGCTTAACCATCACGCTGTCTGGACTCCTCCCTCGAGCCGCGGGACCTGAGGGGACTCAGCTGGGGTGGCTCCCGCGATCACAGGAAGCCCACGCCCTGCACTGCGCCTCCTCCCAGAATCACTCGTCTCTTCTGCTACCGCAGAGCCTGGCCGCTGCTGATACCACAGCTGGACTGCCCGGGCCTGGAGGGCTGAGAGCAGCCAGCCTCGTCTCTCCTGCCGAGCGGCCGGGGGTTGAGTCCCAAGTGTCACCTCCGTGTGGTTTTGTCACCAGCTCCCAACAAACAAGCATGGCTGCTCACTTGGCTTCTCTCCCACAGGACAAGTGCTGCCGGCTGTGGCAGGTACTCAGTAGAGGGCACAGCATGCCGTCCCAAACTCAGCTTTGAAAACCGGCTGATGTCTGGCCTCATGTGCTCCCCACATCCAGGCTGTGTCCAGAGCACAAAGGCTAGAGCCTGCCCACTCCCTCCCTCCTGCCACTCCCCACCTGGGGCATCCCTTCCTGGCCCCGGCCCCTGCCCATGGGCTCACCAGTGGTGGTGCGTGGTGAGCACAGTGGTCAGCTTCACGCCCTGCTTCTTCGCCACCTCCACCACCTGCAGGCAGAGCAGGGTCACACCCTCCATGCCCACCCCCCCACCCCCAGGAGAGGGGGAACACAGGTCTTTCTCTCTGGACCCCTCCTAGGCTGTGTCCCCAGCGGTGGGCACGCCCCCACCTTCTGGGGCTGAGCGGGGTCCACGACGGCGGCCTCGCGGGTGTCCCGGTCAACAAGCAGGTACATGTAGTTGTCGGTCAGTGCCGGCACGAGCTCCACCTTCATGGCGGCCTGCTCCACCCGTGTTCTCCTCCCGGGGCTGCTGCAGCAGAAGAGGGCGCCCAGCAGGGCCGGACCTGGGGCAGGGGCCAGCTTCAGGGCAGCGTCCAACCATACGGGGCCTCGGCCCTAGCCCAGCATCAGACGTGCTCGCTCCCCCATCCGCTGTGTCCCCTGTTCCTGGCCGACCCGACTCAGAGTGAGCCACGGCAGGGTAGAACCAGTTCTGTGGGTTTCCGAGGTGGTCAGGCCCCCACGAGCATCCGGCCTCTTCTTTCTCCCACAGAGCAGCTGGCAGGGGCAGGGTCGAACCTCCGACCTTGTGGTTAGCAGCTGGACGGTGCTCAGAGACCCTCATGGTGCAGTCGCACTGGGAGGTGGCACTCCTCAGAGTGGTCCCCCCGCCCCAGGCAAAGCTCAGGAGGCCGGAGGTGGGAACACTGCTCCCGCTGTGGGGACTGCAGCACATGGCAGATGAACATTCACTCCGTGCTGTCAGCCCAAGTCACAACCAAGGATCCACGCCCCGGCAGCGCTCAGTCCCAATGCCGCTGTCACCAGGGGGCAAGGGGCAGGGGGAGGTTTCCTTTTTCTAGAGGGAACCTGCTTGTCTCTGACTCAGGATGGGCAGAGAGGCAGAGGCGCCCTGTGACACTGCTTGGCCCTGGCATCCGGGCTGCCTTACCT